ACGCAGGTCTGCACATCCAAACTTTCTGCTGAAGTTAGGAGGAGCCACAGGTGTCTGGACCTTGATCAGTAGGTCTCAGTACCAGAATGAATTTTTCTTAGAGGTCAGATAAAGAATCTCAGTTTTGTGCTAAGGACAAAGGGTGTTCCCTACTGAAATGTATCTATGGAAGCCTGCCTTTCTGTTCAAACTGTAGAGCTGCGAATATGTAAGTGTTGAGGCTGATATACAGCCTGATGCTCTTGAGTTTGGTGAGACAAGAGCATGGATTTGGTACAACCAGGGCTTTCAAGTGGGCACTGAACTTCACTCTCCCTTTGGTCACATTAAAATCCCCATCCACAACCGTTTTGTTTTCCTGCTCTAAAATTTCATGCTATTTATTAAACAGATTTTATTTTGGATCAAGTGGCTGTTGGTTGCCCACTTGATTTTTCTCATGTTTTTTTCACCAAAATCAACATCATGCTGAATCCAATAATTGCTGTGGAGCCAGTGCCTGTGTTACCAAAGCAGCGATTTTTATTATGAGATTGAACATGCTAAACAACACTTGCATCTAATTCTAAAGTGTATCAATAAACGGTGTCCTTTGTGCTCATTATCTTCACCACAGTACCTGCTTATTTTACAGTTGGATACGCTTACTTGAATATTTATGCAAACTAACAAATCTGTAATGAAATCATTGGTAAGTTATTAAATCATGCTGGTTTTCCTTCAAGCGTTGCAAATTACCAAAAATTAAATCATTTAAATATAGTATTATCGGTCCAGGTATCTGCTCCGGCTTTTTCTGGAAAGAGTAGGTGTGCTTTGGAACAAATAACACATCTTCTGAGAGCAGTGGTTTTCAGTTGTAACCAGGAGGTACTTCCTTAAGTGAAATTAATTTAGTTGACTGAAACCCACCTTTATGAAATGGAAATGTTGAAATGTAAGGCGAGGGGAGTTTAAAATCCCAGTATATTCTTTCTCAGGTAGTCTGATATTTTGCCAGTATTCTCCATGTAGTAGAGTAAGTCCCAGCGGTGGGGAAATGGGCCAAACACAGTTTATGGAGTTGTTCTGCTGATTACCTTTTCATAGTAAAAATACAGGAGCTTGTTAGAATACCAGCCTTAAGCTCCAGTAAGCTGCCAGCATTGGCCTGAATTTGGGCACATGGATTGCTGAATAGCAGCTTGTTGTGAAAAATCAAATAATCTTCACATAAACCCATGCAAATCTCATAAGCCAGCTCCATTAGAATGTGTTCTGTACTCTGTGTACTAGTACGTGGGAATTTGTAGTAGTATGCTTTATTATCTTTGTTTTGTTATGCTGATACTAAGAAGAATCTACATTTTCTCCATAAAGAATGTTCCTTCTCTCCCTGGAATTGATGCATTGCAATTTCTGTTATGCAGTATTACACAGATGTGGTTGTGACTTCTCCTAGGGCAACAAGTAGTTTCTTTCTATATGTTGTTAAATGAAACTTTCTGAATTGTCACCTTTTTATGAATACCAAGAATGTTTTGTTGAAAATGGGCATGTAAAATGAGGGATGTAGGGTGGTGGAACCCTGTTAGTGCTTTAGCTAGGATGGGTCACACACAGCATTGGACTGGTCTGCCATTTAATCCTGATAAGAAGCCTGTACTCAGTTTATCTTTATCTTGTGTATTTAAATAAATTTTCATCAATATGCTCTGCTTCTGTGTCCTTGAGATTTTGGCTCAGCATGATTCTGCTGAGCTGATGATAACTCAGATTGTGTACTGGATAGATCCGGGCTTGGTGATAGCAGCCATTGAGCTGGGTCAGAACAATACATTCACTATTTTGCAAGTGAAAATGCTTGAAATCTTTCCAGGTGGTGGGAAGAAGGCTTGGAGGCAGAAATTTCACTGTTGCTGCATTTACATTTGCAGCTGCCACTTTTCTCACCCTCCAGCATGCGTTCACTGTCATTCCTGTGGTGGTGTTCCTGTGTTGTTGTTGCATGCTTTGTGTTGGGGTAGGTGCATCAGAATTCCAGCTAGTCTATTCAAAGAAAATCCAAACTCTTACCATAGATCCATAACAAGATTTGTTTCAGAGTCACAAGTCTGTAGAAAAAGTGGTGAACTGTGCTTATATGCTGATAATTTACCACTTGAATCTTCATTTGTATTGAAAGGTAATCCAGGATTTTTAAAGGCATAAATGAAAGCTGGACGTGCAGTTGCTGCTGGCTTGCCTTGTTGGGCATGCTTTTTCTGGGGCTTGCCAGAGGTATTCTGCAGCATCCACATGTGCGCTGAACAGCAGAAAACTGCAACTTCATCACTGACAGACAAGAGTTAAAACATCTGAGTTAGTGGGGGAGAATGATAAAAGAAATAGTGTGAGAAAGAGGAGATTGAGAATAGCAGAGAACCTGAAAGAAAGAAGAAAAGAGCTGGGTGAGGGGGGAAAAAAAGCTCTTTATACCATTTCCTTTCATAAAGCAGCAGCTTGGGGCCCTCCAGCCACTGATTCTCTCTCCACAGTAGTTACCACTTCTATTGCAAGGCACTTATTCACCGTGGGGTCTTCCTGCAAGTCCCACTTTCCAACAGAAAGATACGGTGGGGAATTATATGATGAAATGAGCTTACTTTTTTGCAAGTTGAAGTAAGTCGGAAATGGCTGGAGTGCCCAGGAGTGCCCTACAGGGAGGTGGAAGGGTTCACCTCAGGAGAGCATTGAGCCATCAGTGTGGGTAGTTTGAAAGAGCACTTCAGTGTACAGCAGAAGAAGTTGGCAGATTCATTCCTGTTTATTCTTGTCTTTTTACCCCTGCTTTGTCCCAGGGGAAGTATATTTTACATGTTATATCTGAGAGTCTGTTACCACAAAAGATTTAAAAAAAAAAAAAAAAAAAGTTTCCAGACAAGTGAAATGTAAAATTTAAGCCCCATGCTGTTACAGTTGTGCCCCCAACCAGAGCAGAATCACATCACTGTGTCTCTCTGCTCCAAGTCCTGTCCCCAAAGTGGTGTTAGCTGGGTTTGCCACTTTGGGTTGTCAGCAGAGAGCACTGGCTCCATTAGTCCCCATCTCAGCTGGCAGCTCATGCTCAGGAGATCCCAGCAAGAAGCAGAAAGTACTAATGAGGATGAAATTGAAATGATTTGGCAAAGGAATCATAAGGGCTCTCTGCAATATCCTCAGTTCTAGCCAGTGGTGCTGTGTAACAGGACAAGTACAAATGACAAAACCTGAAAGGGAGGAATTGCTGCTCAAAATAGCAGGAAAAAAAGGAAGGGAAAAAAACCCACACAAAATAAGAACAAGGATATTTTAGTAGTAGCAGTGAGAGCCATCGCAGATGAGATAGTCTCGTTCTTTAACATACAAAGCACAAACCTTTATTTAGGTTCCACATGGCTCTTCCCAGGGAGTTTGCCTGGGCAAGGGCTGAACAGAACCTCGCTTTCCTGAATACCAGGTAAACAGAAACAGCATTCAGGTCACACAGCAGGGAGCAATGCCTTCACTTGCCAAAGAGGAAGGTGCAGCACAAACAGAAATTGTAGCTAACGTTGCTGGAGCCTTGTAGTCTTACCAGGGTATCAATACATCCCTTGCCATTATGTTTTGTCATTAACTTCATATTGCAATGAAAAAGATCATGGAAAAATGTCTAATATTTGTATATTGTCCAATAATTAAATATTGCAAAGATGTGTCAGCTCATTACTAATGATAATTAGTTATTTTTATTTTCAGCTCAGATGTGTGTGTAATTAAATGTACCTGGGAAAGAATTGCCTCTTTTCTCTAAATAATTAACAGCTATTGTTGCTGGGCTGGGTGCTTACCTCAGACGGGGTCCTGTTGGGTTTGTCACAGCACTGCTAATTCCATAAGCTCCTGTGGGCAGGCCACCACTCAGCATCAGCTCTGAGCTGTAGGATCAGCTGGTGCCAAGGGGCTCATCTCTGCACGGGTGAGAAGAGTCCATCAGATGACAGGAGCTGTGGACCTGGCTCACTGAATGTTTGAAGAGAGAAGTAAATAATCACAAGTGGGCAGTAGCTGGAAAGCTCAGCTTGATCTTAGCGAGCCAAGGAGCTTGCACAAGCAGGCTGGCATGAACAATGAGAGAGGGGAGAAGTTCATGGGACAGAAGGAGACTTACATGGAGCAGAGCCTGCTCCAAACTTCCCGCACACTTCTGCACCAACTTCCCACCCGCTCTTTTATTTCAGAATAGGCTCAGAGGAGAATCATTTTGGATGAGCCTCAAGGTAGGACTTGTACAGCTGACATGATCAACAGTCTGCCCTTTCCTTTTCAGGCACTTTTAAGTATCTGAAGACTTCTGTCATGCTTTCAAACATCTGAAGGACAATTTAAGTCCTTTAGGTTTGTTCCAGTTTGGTGATGGGGATCTGGGAGTAAGGGACTAAATAAGCTTTAGTTTGGATAGGAAGATGAAAATGAAGGCAGATTGTGAAAATATTTGAAGAAGTTCCTGCATCTTGGGAAGCTTTCCTGTCTCTCCAGGCATCTTGGGTTTGGCTGTAACGGCTTTTCCAAACTATGATTAAATGAAAGGCAGGAGTCTAAGGGGACAGTTTTTGATATTGCTTATGTCAGGGTAAAAGACTGGAAGACGTATTAATAAGTCCACACTTTCCAAACACTTGTAAAATACTTTTATCTTTAAATCAGTTGCTGAAATAGCACCTTATGACTGTAAATACGCTTCATACTCAAAGAATGTATTTAGAACAGCACTTTTATGGTACAATCTGAGGATTGTCTCAAAACAGTTGTAATGTACGCTTCCTTGGCACTTATACATGTAGAAGGATGCCTTCCTTAGGACGTGGATGTTGGCTATTTCCCTGTGCCTGTCAGCTGAGCCAATGCAAGTGCATTTTTAATTGATCTTGGACTTGAACAAGCATCTCTTGAATCCAGCTGCTCTTCTGAGTTGTAGGTCAGTTTGAATGATACTTATCAACTGGTTTTGTTTTAACCAGATAAGGATGATTCCGACATAGAGATTCAAGAGGATGAAGGATCCGATAGTGAAGTGGAAGAGAGGCAGATCATGAAGCAGCGCACCACCACGGAAACATTACTGCAAGGTATCTTAACCTTTCCTTAGTTGCCTTTATTCAGAAGAATATGCTGGAATTATCTGAGTGACTTTAAATGTAAGAAGACCCTGTTATCGTTCAGGGACTTTGGCACTGCTCAGTTCTCATGAGCTGTAAGAGGACAGTGTCTTGTGGAAAAAACTTAGTCGTTTCAGGGGAGAAAATGAAGGATTATTTACTGAAAAATGTACTGTGTGAGAAAAATCCTTCCTTGGTATTGCCTTACAGATTCTTGAAGTAGCTTTATACAAAGCCTTAGAAAAGTACTACCATTCCTCACTGAAAAGTATTTCTTTCCGTTTAGCTGTTGACACTCATTCTAGTAGAGTTTTATTCAAAAGGAGACCTTTAGCAAGTCCATAAAGACACCTGCACTGACACAGTCATGGGTGCAACACACCTGAGTTATTTCTTTCAAGGAAGGACTTCTGGCTTCTGCTGCTGTTTACATGGAGTGGAACCACAGCCTCTGGCTGCTGATTCCACTAGAGTCTTGGTCAGAAACAACTCAGAGAAATTACTTTCTGAGCATCTGTGTTTCAAAAAATAGATGTTCTGCTTAATCTATAGTCAAGCAAAATGAAACCAGGAGATCGGATTAGTTCTCCTTAGCGTTGTTGTTAGTGATGAGTTATCCTGACTGTCAGCAAAAGCCTCTCTGGGATCTGGTTGAAGTGCCTGTGTGGGTAATTTCATGTGCCACTACTTCTGCTGGAACCTGTTGCTTAGATGAACTGCAAATCGGTGTTTTTTCTGAGTTGAATTCTGCTCTCCCCTCTCTGACTGAGAAGCTGAAGTTCTCAAGTAAATATAATTCAAGCGTTTTTATCCTCAGTTCCCCTGTGTTTCATAAAACTTGAAAATTCTTGGTAAGTGCTAGAAACACTAATATTCACTAAGGATTTTTACATTGCCATTTTTCAAGGAAAAGTTTGATCCCAGTTTTTAGAGCTTTGGAAGTGACTGTGTAACTGTTAGTGATGCGTCATCTCAGAGGGCAACTGTAACCTAGCAATATGGGTACTGGCTGCAGTCAGAGTCAGCTCTTAATACCAATTTTTGGAACAAAAAGCTTTATAATAAAAGTTGTAGATTTTGTTGCAAGTAGAATTTTTTCTAGGAAGAGCTTTGTTGTCATTAATTACAGTTACTGGAGACTCAGCACTAGCTTGTCAGACTTAAAGCAAGCAGTTCAAATCCCTGAGATGTTTTCTCTGCTATGCTGTTCAGTTTGCTTTCTATGCTTTTGTAAATCTCTTCGCAGTGTTTAGTAAATTGCTTCTGGGAGATAATTATCCTCTGATTTTTGCATACTCTGAGCATGGCAATTGCTGACTACACAGTCACTGTCCCAGTCTTTACTCTGGTTATATCTGTATAAGTTGGAAGCCTCCCTTAGCTCTCTGTCCCCTCTTTGCATCTCACCTGCTGTGAACTACTGAAGCAGCTCCAGGTATGTCAGATGCCTTTCCTAAAGGTCCTCCAGGAGGGGTAAGGTTGTATTCCCCCATTCTAACTCACAACACTTCAGTCCTACAGTGCTCCAGTGCAATCTCTGCTGGCAGAGATGGATACAAACATTGTTAGACTCTTAAGGGAAGGATTGCTGGCTAACTTTTCTGCTTTGCTGAAGTTACTTATCATCATCTTGGGAAAGCTGCCCAGTTGCTGTAGCTATGCTGTGAGATTAACAGCAGGATCTCTGTCCATACCACTGGCTTTGGTTCAAAATGTCTACACTTTTTGGTTTGGAAAACTCAACCTTGGGATATCTCTGCTGCTGATGTTAGAGTGAGTTTGCTCAGTCTTGCCCCCACTCTTATCCGTCAGAAGATAGGAACAAACGCTGGGACTGCATCAAGACACACCAGTCAGGCCAGAGCTTTCCTTTGGGAGCTCCAGCCTGACCCAGAGTGCACACTTACATGACCAGCAGTTCTAGACTTGAGCACAGCTCAGATCTGCACTTCTCCATCTGTATAAACAGGCCCCTTTGGCCCAGGTCCCTCAGCGACAGTGAGGTTATATGTTTGACTGTGTGACCCTCACCGACTGAAGAACTGGAGGTATGTCAAGACTTGAGTTTAATGTCAGGTGTGTCAGCTGCTTTAGAAAACTCAGGCCTGAACATTCACTGGCTATTTGTCAATAAGCACAGCAAGAATCTGTACATGTTCTTCATCACAGGTAGTTTGCACTTAAAATACGCTTAACTATTAAGGTAGCATAACAAGAACATTATTTGTATTATTTACTGTTTTTTTCCTTGATTCAACTGAAGGTATTTGAACCTTTTTGTCTTCTTATGTGGCAGTGCTTCTGAACCATGTTAGCTCTCAGACTAAGGATAAATGGTCTACTGTGGTTGGTTCCTGTAGTTGCTATGATTCGGTTTTACATCTCTAATTTCCAGGTCATTCGTATAGTAAGATAAGACTTCCTCCCTCTGTCTGTAATAAGTGGACAGGTGTTCCAGTGTGTTTTGCCATTATAGAGGCAAGATTCTAAGGGAGACATAATCTCTCTTATTAGGCCACTTGGTATAATTGAGAAAACCCAACACTTTCCACCTCACCCTCAAGAGTCCTTTCATCAGGTTGATCTAGATGCAGCAAAATTCAAACTAAATGCAGCTTTGAAAATGTTGCTCCTGGTTTTATTTTTTTTAGCCAATTAGAAGACTTGAAGGTATAGGATTTAGTCTCCCATGGAGCAGAAAAGAGTGTAAGCTGCGGGAGACATGACAGGCTGCTAGCTCCTGTGGTACAGAGAGAAAATTGAACCCTTATTTCAACTTTACAAAAAGGAATAGACAGGAGCAGGTAAAGGAGGGACCTGTAATGTGCTATGGAGCTTTGTCTCTTTTTGAGTTCAATGGCTGTGATTCAACGGTACAGCAAACCCAGTTTTAGGAAGCCAGGACATCTTCTGTACAAGGAGGGGAGCAGGCATGTGAGTGAAAATAAATGGCTAGGAAGATAGTTGCCAAACAGAGATGCTGGCAGTCTGGGTTTGTGAAACTACAACCTGTTTTGTTATCCCAAAACCACAAATGCAGGCAAGTCTCCTCCTTGATGGGACATTATAATAAACCCATATGTCACTAATCATTTGCTTTTGTAAGTAAGAGAATACATTGGTTTATCATCTGTAACTTTTAATTTGACAATTGTCAATGTGAATAAAAATTCATATCCACTTTTATTCTGTCTGGCAATAGATAAGTGAGGTTGTTACACAAATGAAAGAGAGGCATGGACTTCCCTGAGGTCAAACCATGAGTTAGTGATGGCATTTGGAGTAAGATTCTGTTTTGTCTGAGAACCAAAGAAAAAGAAATTCTTGCCATGTTGAAGGTCTTAACTGTCCACAGTGTAGAAAAACCTCTGGCCTGTAACAGGCCATAAACCAGCAGCTTGCAGCAGGGTGGTTGGTCATGTGCGGATGGGGTGAACACCAGGGTGAAGAATGCAAAGCCTTGTCCTGGGAATGTAGGAGCTGCCATGCCAGGTCAGATATGAGGTCTGTCTAGCCTGGCCTTCTGTCTCCAGCACTGGCTGAAAGAACTGCCTGGGGAAGAGTGTAGGAACTTCCCTCAGGTTCCCTCTCACTCTCAAACTGCTTCAACCCTCATCAGGATTTCCTGAGCTGGATGTGATTTTCACAAATGTAGTCTAACCCTCAGTAGATGTTTGGGGTTTTTTCTAAGAACCTTTGCAGTTTCCCCTTGAACTAAAGTGGATTTTTTTATCTACACTATCAAAAGGAGCAGATTTTGAAGCAATGTTGTGATTACATGTGCAGATCCATCTTTCCAGTCTCATTTGGACCAGAGTTCTGAAATGCATTTTGGCATCATGAGCAAGCTCAGGATCTCTCCTCTTCCCAGTGGTAGCACTGGCTGACTGGGTAGGCCATGGCAGACTGGCACACTCTGTGCTTGGAGCAGGGTAGGCAGTGGAAATGCTGCTGAATGAAGCAGAAATGATCCGTGCTTGCGGAACTGTGGAACTGTGCCTGCCTATAGTAAATCACCCTCTATTCCCCACTGCCAGGCTCTTTCAGCTCCTGTAAACCAATTATCCAAATATTTTAGCTCATACATTTCCTTTTATAATGTTGGTGTTAAGGGGCGGTTTTGTCCTGTTCAGACCACAGAGACCATTTTATGACCAGGACAGTAACGACTTCAGCCCCATTTGGTCTTTATTGTAAGAAGACAGCTTTGTAAAACTCCAAACGTTTTTCAGCAAACAATCAGTCTGAAGTCAAACAGTGGGAGAACAGCTCTCTTGGAGCCTCTTACCTTCACAGAACGGACCCAGAGGATCAATATGGTAACGATGTGCTGGCAGCCAGGTAGCAAGTGTACTTGCTACTGAATGGATAAAATATTTGCCTGTGAAAACCTGCACTAACATATCAAGAAGAAATGTATCTCTGGATGCAGCAGATGAGAATAAAGGGGCCTTACTAAGAAAGCAAGGTGTACCTTATTGAGGGAAGTGGAACCAAGTATGCAACAGTCAAACCAGAGAGGAATCCAGGGGCAGACAGGGAGCCTGGTCCCGTGTCTCAGTGGCCACAGGCCAGGTTGTCAGCCCCAGCTGTTCCTGCACTGTGGCCAGGCCCACGGGGATCCCCAGCCCTGTACAGATGCACCTCACAGAGGCAGCGCGCGCCAAGCAGCCCATACCCAAAGCGTGTGATGGTGCCCTTGTGGCACACACATGGTGTTTTGAGATGATAATGTTTAGCCTCCTTGTCTTGGTTTTCTTCTTAAACTTGAGCTTGTGATTATTAAGTAGGAGCTGGACAGCAGACATTGGGAAGGGGCCAAAGGTACCCTGCATGCTAGGGGGAAGGCTGCGGAGGCTGAATTAGCCCTTGTTTTTTTCAGTCCTGTAGGGAGAATGGGAGCTTTGACAAAGTAGCAAGAAATCTTCTCAGGTGAGCCTACACAGCCCTGTTTCTAAATCCCTCCATAC